ATTGCCATTGTTCTCGGTGGTGCAAGGCTCTCTGTGACAGCTGACAGAGGCGCTCAAGGCACTGAGAGTGTCGTATGAGCCAGAGCGAGGCAGGCCCAGGGAAGCCTTCCAGGTGGGAGCCATCCGCTGGAGGAGCCGATGCCCACTGTGTACAGACGGTCCTGCACATGGCCACTGGTGGGGAAGGAGGGGGATGGGGCACACGTGGAGGCTCACAGGCCGGGCTCCGTGGACAGTGTTCAAAACGTGGGGCTTTACCCGAAGAGCCACGGGCAGCCAGGGCGGCATCACATGAGACTGTCCTGTTTCATCCTTCCCGCTCAGAGCTGCGCCTGCACGGATTTGAGGAGGGGCGAAGGGGCGAGAGGCCAGCCAGCAGAGGTTTGAGATGCATGTCTTTCATGAAGCCTTGGTGAGGGGGCGGGGCGGGGGGAAGCTCAGAGTCGTCGCTGGGGCTGCTCGGGCTGCCGTGACAAAACACCACAGGCTGGGGCTAGAGCAACAGAAACACATCTTCTCAGGGCCCTGGAGATGGGAGCCCTAGATGGAGGTGCCACCAGGTCTCTTTTCCAAGCTCGCAGACAGCCAGCCTTACACCGGGTCCTCACATTCTTTTCATAGTGCACGTGTGGACAGAGAGATCACTTGTGCCTCTTCCTCTTCTTAAAGGGACCCCAGTCCCCTCAGACTAGGGCCCCACCTTTACAACCTCTTTTAACTTTAGTTGGGGCTTCTCAGGTGGCTCAGTGGTAAAGAATCCACCTGCCAATGCAGGAGAAGCAGGTTCAATCCCTGGGTCAGGAAGATCCCCTGGAGGTCTGGCAACCCACTCCAGTATTCTTGCCTGGAGAATCCCACGGAAAGAGGAGCCTGGCAGGCTACAGTCCATGGGGTCACAGAGAGTTGGACAGAACTGAGTGATCAAACAGCAGTGGCAGCGTCAGCAGCATCTCCTTAAAGGGCCTTTGCCCAATGCAGTCACCGTGGGGGTTAGAGCTTCCATACATGAATGGGAGCGGGGGGAGCACAGTTCAGTCCACAGCAGGGTGGGCGTGTGGATTCCGGTCAGGAGATTAGGGCGGAAGTGCTGACAGCGTGAACTGGGTATTGGCAGTGATGGTGAAGAGACACCGGGCAGAAGAATCTACTGGAATCAGTGGAGGACATCATGAGGTGGGAGGGGAAGGGAGGTGTCAATTCCTAGGTTCACTGTCAAGGGCAACTCCTAGGTTCCTAAAGTGCGGTGAGCTGAATGACGGTCCCCTGAAAAGGCATGTCCATGTCCCAGCCTCTGGAATCTGTGAATGTGACCTTACTTAAAAAGAGGGTCCTGCAGGTACGACTGAGATGACATGATCCCGTGTTACCTGGGTGGACCCACATTAAAGGACAAGTTTACTTGTAAGAGGCAAAGGGGAGAAGACATAGATACCCGAAAGGTGGAGATGGTCCTGGTGTGGCCACAAGGTCCCCAAAGCTGGAAGAGACAGAAAGGACACGCTCCCTGCTAACACCTTGAATTTGAGCTCCTGGTCTCCAGGACTCTGAGAGAGTACATATGTCTGTGGTTTGCAGCCATCGGTTTGGTGATGGACCCTTTGCTAAGGCAGCCCCAGGCAACCAATGCAAAGAGTGACTAAATGGGAAGTTCAGTCCCGGAGTTGGGGTGGGGTGGGGTGGGTGGCTGGGGGGCAGGTCCTGTGGGATAAGAGGAAGAATTTAGGTTTAGAAATGTAGAATTTGTGACTCTAAGATGTCAAGGAGCTGAAAGGATAGCAGCCGGGCTCACAGAAAATACTCAATAAATGACAGCTATTCTCTTTATTATTTAGTTTTGGAATGCTCTGGCATTAGAAGCAATGGCTCCTCTTAAGCATATTTGGTTTTGCTGGAATCTTGGGAGGGCAAACAGTTTGAAGCTCTGCCAGGACACAGGGCAAAGTGTAGCTCTGTGTCAGTAACACCCCAGCAGGGACCAGCACTTCCTGGTACAAAGTTCTGTTTGTCCGTCTTCACCTCAGGCTGATACCAACCTCATACCCACCTGGAAAGGCTACATCACGCCGCGTAGTACAGGTGGTCCGGGGAGCACCACCGGCCCTCTCCGCCCTTCCTTCCCACCTCCCGGCAGGGCCGTTGGTGGCAGAAGCTCGCCACCTTGTGGAAACCGACAGATCTCGGCCTGGTCTGAAAATCAGAATCAGGATTGGAGACAAGGGGCTGCAAAGACCTACCTACCTCCCTCCACATATAGCCTTGCTTAATCAGGCTCTGCAAGTCAAGGTCTGGGTGGAAAATCTCTCTGATCTTGAAAATATCTGAGAAATAAGGAAGACGGCTCCAAGCAGGCCGTAAGGGACGGCCCCTCCTGCACGTGTGTCTCAAGGTCTCCTCCCCAGGCTGTGCCGCAGGAGCAGTTACTTCTCTCTCATGGGTGGGAGAGCCTTGGGCCCACTCTGCCCACAGCTTCCACAAACCCAGAGGAAGCCTCCTCACTGACTTGGAGATGTCCAGTTCTGACTTAAAGCTCAGAGAGCTGGGGTCTTTCTCAACCAGTGTATTCAAAGGCTAGTCTATGCCTCAGTTTCTCCATCCATTCAATGGGGGTAATAACAGTGTCTATGTAAGTGATCTGTTGTGGACATGAAATGAGTTAACCTAAATAAGGTGCTCAGATGACTGCCTGAGCCAGCAGGCCCAATGCCTGTTAACTAGTATGTGCCCCTCTCCCCACCCACCCCGAACCACCACCATCAAACGCAGTTTTCAGCAATATCCTTACATCTCAAGGCACCCCCACTCACTGTCGGATACCAGTGGTATCCAGGTATGCCAGGTACTGTGGGAGGGGAATAAAAATACGTAAGTTATAGTCCTTTCCTCCAGCAGTTTGTGGGACAGTCCAGAAGCAAGGACGACACACATATACACCAGTGCCCCGCCTGCTCTCAGACGCTGTCACTGACCTGGCAGGCTGGGGCAGTCCAGCAGCATGAAGGCCCCTCCTGCCAGCCTTTCTGCAGAGGGAAGCCAGCACTGATAGGCCGCTGCTCCCTTCCAAACTTCATCCTCCCTGCGGCGGGTAACACCACAGATGAGAAGGGAAAAAATGGAGTGACTTCTCAAGCAGAGCTCTCTGGGAAACTGGAGTCACTTAAACTTATTTCTCATGACTTCTCAGGCTAAGCTTTCCCTTCCCTGTGTTTGCAAAAGCTGGACAAACATACAGCAGGAAGATTTAGAGGATTTCAAGCATTGGCGTAACTGTCAAATTGTGATTTTAAAGTCATCATTCTGTGTTGTGAGTGGTTAAAAAAACCCCACCCACACAGGCTTATATGGAAGGAGGGACTGTGTTGACTCATGAAGCTGAAGGGTGGCTAGATGTTCCCAGTGGGACTAGACCCAGAGCCTCACTTGATGTTACCAGGTACCTACCTGCCTTCCTTATCTCTGAGCTCTGCTTCCCCCACCTGGACTCAACTTCAGAAAAGCTTTCTCCCAGCAGCTCTATCTTACACAGTACCAGCTCAATACACTTCTCTAATGCTCCAGCTAGGGTTACTGGATTTAGCAAATATTTGGGACACACTTACAATAAAAAACTATTCCTTGTTGACCTGAAATTCAAATGCAATTAAACACCCTGTATGCTATCTGGCAATCCTCCCTCCAATACAGGTCCTAGGACTGCATCTGGGCAATCTGAATCACACACCACCTCAGACCCAGTGGCTATGGTCAGGAGGATGGGCTGTGCCAGCCAGCAGACAAGGGTCACCTGCTTGTCTCATGTCAGCCCTCCTAGTACACGTGCCCTGAGGTTGGGAGACAGGGTCCCTCCCCAATAACTGGGATGCTGACCCTAGAAGCAGGGTGATGAACCCTGCACCAGCAAAAACAACAGATGTCCATACAATGGCCATGAATGTCCTGGTCAACACTGAGAATATAAAACTCTGGGTGTTGGTACAGCATGTGACAGTTTATAAGGCATTTGCCCACCACTCTTTCTTGCCTCCCATACCTCTGTTCGGCTGGCAGAGCAGGTACTGTGATCACTTCCTATATTTCTTTGCAAAACCACTACAACAAAGTACCACGGACTAGGGAGGGTGAAGCAACAAACATCTATTATCTGACTATAATTCTGGAGGCTGGGAGGGCAAGATCAGGGTGTCAGCAGGCTTGTTTTCTCCCGAGGCCTCTCTCCTTGGTCTGCAGTCAGCTGTCTTATCGCTATGTACTCAGTATATGTCTGTGTATATATCTCTTCCTGGATACTGGTCATACTGGATAAGGGTTCACCCATGCGACCTCATTTGACCGTAATTTTCTCTATAAAGATCCAGTCTTCGAACCTTCCTGGAGTGCGCACAGTAAGTCCCCTTTGTGGTCCCTACACCAAGTAAGCGGGCCAGGCAGCCCGTGTTCCTGAAATAAGCATTCTTTGAAACGAATGAAAAAGAGAAAGAAAGAAAAAACCCTATAAGAGTTTTAGGAGATTTAGCAAAAAGGAGAGGAGCACAGGAGTACACGCTGATGATTTGAAGGGATTAAGACTTTTCAGAACAGCAAAAATGATGAGGCCTATGGATGTGTAAATGAGCCCCACGAAGAACTAATCAGAAAAAAAAAAAAAAAAAAAACAGAAAAAGGCCCGTAAAACAAGCGAGGGGAGAACAGTGAATATTTCAAGTGTCTTTAGTTCATAAGAAATTCATGAGCAAAACGTGTGGAGATCTTGTTGGTTTTGGTGGTGGGAAAGAATTGTAAATATGTATAATATGTAAATACCTCTGATAATAAAAGCCCATGAAGATAAACGAGGCTGTCTTTAGAAAAGCTGTGAGCTGTATGAGATGCTAATACCACTGTCGTCACTCTAAGAAATTACCATAATGCTTACAGCGCTTTGAAAGTTTCCGAGCTTTGAAAAGAAATGCATAAACACTAACCAGAAGGCGCGCACTCACACGCATACACACACACACTGGGCGCCTTCTTCGCGCTGGCGGCCTTTGTGCAGGTCAGCGCCCCGGGCCGGGCGGGGGCGGCGGGAGGGGAGCCCCGGGCTCCGACTCCAGGCCGGTTGCGGTGTAGACCGACCGAGCGGCGGGGTCGCAGAAGCCGGCCCTGTACGGGGAGGGCGGGAGTTAGGGTTGAAGCTTGGAGAACCCCCACCCCGTCTGGGCTGAGACACAGATGCGGTCACATGACCCCGTTTGCTCGCTGGCTGGAAGGAGCAGGTTTGGCGCGTGTCTCTTTGCGGGGGACCTTTATAAAAAGGCAGCCGGGGGCAAGGCTGTGCACCGCTCGGAGAGCAAGCAGAACAAAAACCTTCACAGCTAATTATCCTTTCAAGTAAGATCTGGGGCCCCCTCGCCATAGCTTCCCTCATTTCTTGAGACTGGAGGGTCGTTTAAACACCCGTTCTGGGCTTGGCCCACACTTCGCAGAGCCTCTGTGCGCTTCTTTACAAGTAAGTGTGGCTGTGTGTTCAAACCAGGTGCTGGGGCCAGCCAGAAACACCCCCTACACACATACACACGCACACCCCATCAGCTATACTGTCTTACTCCTATGTATCCTCCTGCTCGGCTTAGCAAATGGCTGACATGAGTGAAGAGCAGACCAAATACTGGAACAGGACTGTGAGAGCATGGGGCTAATGCTGCTGTTCTGGCGTTCCAGGTGAACGATCCGGATGCAGAACTGTGGATGGTGAGTATGGACTGCTCTCCCATACCTAAAAGAATCAGGGAACTGCACGAAACATGCCGTGTGTCTGTTTGCCTTCCTCTCTGCTTCGTGTAGGTAAAAGTTTAGAAATCAAATCCTTAGTAAGCGCCTTTTCCTAAAATATTAGGAGGAAAAGTGCAAGTGTTTGTTACTCAAGCATATCTGACTCTTTGCCACCCTATAGACTGTAGGTCCTCAGACTGGAATGGGTGGCCAGTGCCTTCTTCCGGGGATCTTCCTGACCCAGAGATAGAACCTGGGTCTCCTGCATTGTAGGCAGATTCTTTACCGTCTGAACCACCAGGGAAATGTGAAAACATTAGGAGGAGAAGGATCAAATTGAGAATTCAGAATTTTCCAGAGATACAGGGGCCTTTCAGCTGTATTCCCTTTGAATAAAACAGGCCAACTGAGAACACTTTTCTGAAGACAGAGAAGACCTCTCAAGGTCGTGTGAACCAATCCTCATGAATTTCTACCCAGAAACTCCAACAAATGTTTGACTGGAAAATGGTAGGCTTAAGGTCTGTGGTTCTGCTAATTCAGTGAGTTATAGCCACAAAAAGTAATTAAAGCCCATAAAACCTACAGTATACACTGAACTGATGCTCTGACTAAACCATTTAGAGGAGGGGGGGATTTGTTCCACACATTTTCTGAAATATCTGGATTTTGTTTCTTTTAACAGAGGCACCTAAGACTACACAATATCACCGATGAGATGATCTTAAGCTTTGAAATAATGTTGACTTTGTACAAGTAGCAACAAGTGAAAGCATTTGGAATAACAGTACATATAATATCACATATAAATATAACTACATTCTGATATTCTTATTGTCCAGATTCTCATGTCCCAGCATCAAATCAAATGGCCTCTTCCTCAGCACTCTAGTCTATGTCCTTAGTTCCAAATGTTATTTCTCCTGAAGTTCCAACTATCCAGCTTAATGGTGAATTTCCAAAAGACTCCTAGATCCGTGCCCCAGTACGTCAGTCACACTGGCTCCTCAAATACGCACAAGGTCCTTTTCAGCATCTTTCCTTCTAAAACCCATTCTTCCTCCTGACTCACCATTTCTGTTAGCAGCAGAGTCATTCTGAGTCATCCTTGCTCAAAACCTCAGCCATCTCTAATATCTGTTTTCTTAATACTGTCTTTGAGAGCCCCTCACAACACAAAATGAAGAACAAAGCAATCCACCAAAAAGCAGTGTAGGTCTAATTGCTTATCTGTACAGTATCTATACATTTACCCTTTACATCATGCTTGGATGATGGAATTTGAGCATCAACACCAGACCCCCACAGACATCCTCACTCACCTCCAGTTTAGCCCCCCATTACCTCCCATGTGGACCCTTATGGGTCCTTTCTAATTCTTTGAGCTGCCTCTAATCTCTTACATTCCTGTAGTTCTTCCCACATATTGCTTCCTGACAGAGACTTTCATCATTTCCCAAGATGTCTTAAGTTGGCCCTCCACAATATGGCCCTAACCTACCTTCCCAACTTGGTCTTGGAAGACTAGTCCACCTGTAGTACTTCTGTGCCTTGCCCTGAGAATTTCTGTGTCAGCCTCTATTTAAGTGTCCAGGTCTATCTCAAATGTTATCTCACCACAAAATCTCTCCACCTCTTTCCCATAAGTTCCAAGCATCCTTCCTTTGAACCTTCAATGTAGCACTAACTCATTCTGCTTTGCATTAGAGTTGGCTCTGTATATGCCAGCTTCCAGGGGTCAGGGGCCAGTTCCCTCTTCTTGCTTGGCAAGCTAGCATACAGCTTTCCTATGGCAATCTTTCCCAGATTGACTCTTAGAGTGGAAGAATGAACACACAGATGAACTGATATTAGGTTACTGGGTCCTGGGGTCTTGTACTGTACCTGACTGATGCCCATGTTCCCTGCCACAAATTGTTCATGGAGTATACTTGTATCAGGATGCATACAGGAGCAAATAACAGAATATCTGACTAGCATCAGATTATAAACATACAGACCATCTCATGAGAAGAAGTCTAGAGGCAGCTGCTTAATGGTCAACAGTGTCATCAAGGACCTGGGCTTGCTTTCTTGTTTCTCTGCCAAACCTCAATGGGTAGGTGATACATCCTTTCATGTTTACAGAATGGCTGCTGCAGCTCCAGACATCTCGTCCCTAGACAAAAGCATCACAAGCAGGAAGAAACAAGGCAGGAGGCAAAACCAGTTTTCCTCCTGTGCTGCTTCTCCCTTTCATCAGGGAGCAAATATTTCCCAAGAAGCTCCCCAGACAGGCTGCTATCCAGTTAGTACATATTACTACTAATAAGGCTTATGGTCTAGGATCCATCCTGCTTAGTCAGTACCCACGCATATTGAGTGTTAAGGGCTCTACATATCAGCCTTGCCTCCAGAAGACTTCTCTCTACATTTCATTGCTGGAACATGATGGCTCCTCACTGCTAAAAAGGCTAAGAAAACAAATTGGCTTTTTTAGTTTTTATAGTGGCACGGAGACGGGGAGAGCATTGTTAGAAATGACTGTCATGGGTCTCAGTGGCTATATGTTCAATTAAACCAAATACAGTAAATAAATATTACAATACCCTTTAGTTTAAAAAATCCACCAACAAAAAGATAAAAGACCATTATATGTGGATTCTGCTGAGTTCATTACTGAGTGTTTATACTGTGCATTGTTTTTACTTGTGTACTAAAAACAATTACTTTCAGTCTCTGCATGTAAAAAAAAAAACCTTAATCTCATTCAAAACAGAGGTAAGGATTAATAAGGATTAACATGGCACAGCTACCATGGGAAACTATTACTTAAAGATTTGTCCTGTTCATGTGTTTACAATACATTGAAATAAGAAGATCTTAGACCCTTTAATCTATGAATCACAGATATGTTATACTTAAATGCACATTTAAAAATCTCTGCTAAACACTTCCTATGGAGAATACAGTTAAATATTGTATGATGTGTATGTGTTTAATTTCTATCTGCCAGTCTGTCTCAGTCTCTTCCTCAGTTGCTAAGTCATGTGGTTTTTTACTGGTGGGAACTAACTAACCCCTTACTGCTCTAAGTGTGGTCCTTGGAACAACAGCAGCAGTGTCCCCTGGGTGCTTATTAGAAAAGCAAAATCTTGGGTCCTACCCCAGACCTCTGGAATCAGATCTGCATTTTAATCAGACTTCCAGATAATTCATATGCACACTAACGTCTGGTCTAACCCTCAGCAGCACGGTTGTCCTTGCAAATGTTGGTACCAGCTGATATTCCAGTCATCACTGGGGACCCTTTGAGAGGGATGAACATGATCTGTAATATAGATACCATCTCTCCCCAGGGTCAAGACAGGTGTGTTTTCACAGTGACAGCAGATCACTTAAAATGTTGAGCCTTGACAACGTCCAGATAAACAAATGGTTTCTAACTAGGCATCATGATTGATGTGGCTCACAGCTACATTTCTGGGGAGGCCCCCATACTTCTTATAAACCTCCCACCTCTGCTTGTCCTCTGCCCACCACACACAAGCAATAGGTTTTTCTAGAATCTGCCTACTTGCTGTGAATGAGGCCTCTTCAGGGCCAGTCTTTGCAACTCCAAAACAAGTTACCAGTTTCAGAAATGAAGAACCTGAACTTATTGGGCACATGTGATCTATACACTGTTAGTAAACTTTCTGTGGTCTCACTTGCAGAGATGGAGTATGGGGCTGGATGGTCCATGAGTCTAGACCCAGCAGGGCCACATAGCTAATTATGGCTGCTTGGGTCCTACTTTTCATAGAGCAATTTTTGAAAAGTAGGGGAAGGGCATTTAGGCATGGATGTCACTTGGGAGAGATTAGGAGGTCACTGTGTCTTGAGATCAGAGCTCTGCTTACTGCTAGAGCTTGAAAATGAATGTCTTTCCTGGAAGAGCCTACAGTCTAGGAAGAAGTCAGATAAAATGACACCCTGACATGTTAAGTGCCATAAAAGCAGAGGTTACCACTTCCTTGGTTGTTACTAAAAGCTGGAAGTAAATCATGGCACGTGGGGCCACCACTGGTGTCATCTTTCTTTACTCCCTAAACATCTCTGAACATCTCCTATATTGGGCATCCTTCTTACCCCTGTAATTTCCTCTCTTTTGCTCACAGGTTGTGTATACAATTCCTGCCACTCTGACCCTGCTTGTTGGACTTAACCCTCTTGTCACAGGTATGAACCTTGAATTCTCAATGGTGATATGAAACATCAGATTTCCTTTTAATAATGAGAGTCTGTCTGCCCAACTCCCAGTAGAAAACTGGAGCCCTCCATGTCTTTCCTCTTCCTTCTGATCCTAAGAGGAGGTGAATTCCAATCTAGATCATCCCCTTCCATCTTCAGGAAAACTTGATGCGGATGTGCCATACTAAGACAGGCTTTATGCACTTGGATCCCAGCATCTCTGATGCTGATGTGGAACAGCAGTTAGGCCATGTAGCCCAAGAGAGAAGGGCTTCAGTCACTGCTGTTTATTTCTTAAGCCACTAAGCTAATGGAAAATCAGCAACAATCAAACTGCTAACTTTGTCTCCATACTCAGTGGGGATCAATGTCTATTATGTATCTACTCTATACAAATCCTTCACCCAGTACCACTCTGGTTCATCTTTTTCTGATTTTGAATTCATTCAAAATGAATGAACTGCTATGTATCAGATACCTATGTATCTGCATTGCTACTATTATATAGAAACTGTCTATAATGTCTGTAATTATAGAAATCTCTGGATTTCTCATTAATACATATTGCCCTTTCTAGTCTCCCTGTGTACCATCACAGTGAAAGTGAAAATGAAGTTGCTCATTTGTGTCCAGCTCTTTGTGACCCCATGGTATGTAGCCTGCTAGGCTCCTCCATTCATGGGATTTTCTAGGCAAGAATACTGGAGTGGGTTGCCATTTCCTTCTCCAGGAGATCTTCCCGACCCAGAGATCGAACCTGGGTCACCTGCATTGCAGGTAGATTCTTTACCTTCTGAGCTACCAGGGAATCCATCACAGTAACTCCAGTAATTTCCTGCATACTTCTATATATGCTTCCTCCATCTAGACTGTAGGCCCCTTAAAAGCAGGATCATGTCTAACTCATGTACCCAACACTTGTTGAGTCAGTGAATGGATGTATAACACAGAGGCTTTATCGTGTATTTGTTTCATAACCTACTCCTTGGACTCCTTACACATACATCCCAGGGGAGAATACATGTAACATATTCACTTACATTAGCTGGCTTGTATGGGCCATAGGTCACCAACCTCAGTCAGGGGGCAAAACACAGCTGCTTCACCTTTTACGGCCCTAAAAATTCACTAAACCTAAGTTGGACAGTTTCATTCTATAGAAGTGTCTTCTAGCAGAAAAAAAAATTTTTTCTACATTGCTTACTAACATTTTCTTATTAGTGGGGAATATCAGTCCTGCAGTCACTTTCTTTAAATCAGCTTCTACTAGTGGGGCTGGAAATTCCTCAGGGCCTTAGAATAAAGACAAATGATTCCTGCCTGGGTGGGGAAAACTCCCATCACCCAGATGTACGGGCTTCTTGTACAGGCCCCTAGAACTCTGTTTACATCTTTAAGGTGTATCCATTAGGGCTCCATTAGTTGCAAGCAAGGAAAAAATACTCAACTCAAATGTCCTATAAGCTGAAGCGAGATGTACTGGGATCCTTTACAAAAGGCTGGGGCGGTGCTGGCTTCAGGTGCTGGTGGTGGCTCAGAACTTAAACTTCTCTGCAGTCTTAGTTGCACATCAGCTGCACTTCAGCCCTGGGCTCCACGTGAAGGCCCTGCCGCTCAAAGGTCACAGCTTCACCATGCTAAGTCCAGCAGAATCTAGAATCTACTTCCCTGATAGCTCCGCAAAAGCTCTGGATGGAACTGGTGCTCCTGATCGGTTATCTGTTCATCCTGAGACAAATCACTGTCACCAAAGGGATGGAATACATTGACCTTGTTAGTGTCCGGTTGTCTGGGACACCGGGACTGAGAGTGGGGAAGGGTGGGTCCGCAGAGAAAAGATGGGTCAGTCAGCATCCGAATGGGAGATAATGAACAACCAAAATAATAAATGTCCATTTAAGTTTATAAATATTGTTTTCACCTGTTTTAACCTTTTGATTTGAGGGCAAATCAAAACAACAACAACAACAAAAAAAACCCCAGCCTTTTCTGTATGCTTTCCCTGAAGGCAGATTAAAAGCCAATACAAAGAAATCTTGTTTCTCTGGTTCCATGATTAACAGCACCAGGATATCTGTTTTTAGGTAACTTTATTTGGAAGAGTGTGTCTGCAATACATATATTCCTTTGTGGCCTGTGGGCTATCAGCTTGGCATACAACCTCTTGCTTCATAAGAAACAGAACCTCTTGCATGAGGAGGAAGGCAGGTGAGTGAGTGGTGGTTTTTACTCTTCGGAGGGGGTGGGGAAGAACTGAGAAATCTGTGTCTTCACAACACCTTATCTGTGGTGCTTTAACTCCCCCAATACCTTGAGGGGCAGGGAAGATATTATCTCCTTTACATGCTAAAGAAACTGAGGCAGAGATGGAGCTGGAGCCAGGATTTACATGCTACACATCACCTTATATTACCATCAGGCAGTTGGACCTTGGCCCCCCCTTGTGATGAGCAGTGATGCCATAGAGTAATGTTCAGTCCAGTCTAATGAGGTGAAAACTCCATCAGCAATGGGGCTCAGTCCGGGTACAAGCCAAACTCTTTACTTACCAGTGTGACCGGCCTCCTCAGAGGGGGACGTCTGCCAGCCTTGCCCTTGCACATCTCGTCCTCTGCACCCCCTGTCACCATCACTGGCTCATTTTATCACCTCTTCCTCTGCTTCCCCTCACCCTTGACTCCCTGGCCTCACAAAGAGCCCTGTTCCTTTCCTTTCTGCCCCACTGCTAACATCTGCCAACACCAAGACTGAGAGTCCTGTAGGTTAAGTCCCACTGATTTTGTGCTGCCGTTACAGGCCCTAATCTTTGGAAACTAGATCGGGTTGGGGATGGGAATGCAGACCAGATGGTTTGAATCAACCCCCACCTACTTGAAGCCCATGATTTTCAGTGAAATCAAAGAGGGGCTTCCAAGTGGTACTTGGCCAAATACAATTATGTTCTACTCTGTGTAGAAGATACGACCTTTTAACAAATAATTCTAGAAGCATATACCCACCCCCAAATCATTAGACTGACTCATTTGACAAATCATTCCTCTCCTCTAAGACATGACCTTGTCTCCTACAATGTGTACTTGAATTACTGATTTGAGCTCAACCTGCCCAACACTGACCCCTCTAAAACAATATGAAGAGAGTGCCTGATCAAATCTGGGATTATCTTCTTGACTGTAGTATTCTTCCCCATGACATGAAATAAGTGATTTATCTGTTTTTGTTTTGGTTCTCTGTTCATCTATAAATTGGGAAACAATCATGAAGTTCATATCTGCCTCCTAAGATGAAATTTATTTTCATATTGGGCTTTAAAGGGTCTGACAAAAGTAATTTACGAGTCATGGCCAGACTTGAAAGTATTTTGTAGATGCTTGTATCTTGGAGCAAGTCATCAGACAATCAGCAGAAGCAAGTGTCAGGGAGAAAATGGAATGATATGCATCTCACTTGCAGCCTCTTCAAAAAAAAATGAAATCTCTGCTGTTTTGTAGGGAGCTGTTTGGTCTCGTGATCATCACAGCATGGCTGGGTCTGTGCCACAGCTCTTCAAAGTAAGTTCTCGACCCATCAGGTAAAATCAGATGTGCTCAAGCAGGTGAATGAGAATACTGACACAGATGTAAACAGCAATCTTTTGGGAGAAATCTTCCCTTTTTGTAAGGGAAGCTAACAATGGATGGCTCGGTGTTTCACGGTCACTCATACTTTTGTGAATACCACAATACACAGTTTTCTGAGTCGTCGCAGGGAGTTGCCAGTCCGGGAGGGTGTCTCTTCAGGGAGAACGTGATCTCCAAAGGAAGCTTGGAGACTGAGGAAAAGTGAGTAGCAAATAAGTATAAAACTGGAGGTGCATGTATGTGAATATTAACTTTCTAAAACAGTAATGGAAAAAGAAAAATACATGACACCTGAGCATCTAAGTTGGAAGGGAGAAAAATGGAGCTAAAGCAGTCTGGGGTCCTTGAATTATCTGAAAAGGGTAAAAGTACTAACTTATATCAGACTTTGATAAGTCAAGGATTCACGTGGTAATAATCTAAGAGGAAACCTTATATTATTAGAAAAATAATCTAAAAAAAATCTTAGAAAAATAATCTAAGAGGTAACCACTAAGAGAAAAGGAGTACAGAAGGCAGGAAAGGAGAAGAGAAAAACACAGAGAACAGATACAGAAACAGGAAGCAGATGTTGAGAGAGAGAATTACATTCAAATATATGAGAAATCACATTAAATGTAAATATTCCAATAAAGATTCAAAGATCTTCAAAATGGATAAAGATTAAAAACCCAACCAAACACTGCTTACAAAAGAGAACTCTTAAATACACAGAATCAGAAAGATTGAAAGTCAAAAGATGGAAAAATCACAGTATACGAATACCAACCAAACGAAAGCCTGTATAAACATTTTAATTTTAAAAAGTAGACTTTAAAATCAGCATTAGAGTAGGGGACATTTTTTTGGTAATGAAAAAATTTTTGAGTTTTTATTTTGAAATATCCAAACATATTCAAAAGTAGAGAGATGAATATAATGAATCAGATGTACTCATCACCCATTTTCAACATTTATCATATATCCAATCTTGTATCATCTACCACTATCCTGATTATTTTGAAATAAATCTCAAACATCATATTATTTTATGTTTTATATGTTTCAGTATGTGTCTCTAAAAGGTAAGCACTTAAAAAATAACCATTCTACTACCAATACACACACAAAAATAAAACAGTAATTATTCAGTACTGAGTTGTCCAGCCAGTGTTTACATTTCCACAACTGTATGATAAATGCTTGTTTCTCTGTGCTGCGTATTTCCTAAAAACTGGTGGTAAGATCCCAGGCTTAGGCACAGGCTGGTCATCGTTGTTGTCTTCTTCTCCTTTTCCTCTTGTCATCCTCATCACCACCATCACCGCCACCACCAAGCAAGACCACCTCATGGGTGGTGGTATGTACTTCCATCATAACGTACATCACACCTCGTTGTTTCTCTGTAACATTAGTATAACATCTTCATGACCATTGCCTAAATCCACGAATTCGAGTTGCAGAATGCTGATACTCTAATTATATAATTTCTTGACTATTACCTGGAAAACTTCGAAAACTTCTACTTATCAATTTTTTGACTACTCAGATACAAATCATAAGAGGAAAAGGAGTTGATTCTCTTAATTGCCCAGTTTTCAGAATAATGAGTTTTTCTTGCCTGGGCATCTTCCAGAAGTGACCAGTGAGTTTTGTTTATGTAACAGTACCATTATAAAGTCATAGATCTCAACATACTTGATGTTTTTTTCAGTCCATGGCAGTTGCTTAGGCTGTTCCATCTTTGATCAGTGGCACTTATTCACACTGGCTCCAGAATTCTGTTTAACATGATCCTAGTAAACTTTTAGTTTTTTTGGTCTTAGTAAATTTTGATTGCTTCCTTGCTTTCTGGTATGACAAAATGTTCCACGCTAAGATGTACATTTTATGCCCCAGACCTGGAATCAACCATTTCCCCCAAAAGCCTTCATTACTTTTGGTAGCTAATAGTATTTAGAGGTCACATTGTGGGTATAAATGGTGCTCACTACTACTGGATTGAGTTCATTCTTTTTAGTGGTCAGAACTAGGAAATTCACATATATGTACATGTGTATGTATACACACATGTATTACATGTGTCATAAATGTATATGCATACATATATGAGTATATAAAATATATATAAAGTAGCTATATGTATATATATTTTTACATATGTATAGTTAAAGATAAAATCCCTTATGAGTTCATGTTGATCCTAGAATTCAAATTCAGGAATACAGGTTTTCATTTAAACTTGTCAGCAATCTTAAATCTGTATTTCCTTTTAATCATGTCAAAAAATCTCTAGTCTCAGAGACCTCAACATAACTCATCTGACTTATCCCACAATACAACACAATCTCAGAATAATAATATAATTACAGAAAATAGGTACTTTGTGTTGTTGTTGTTAGGGAATATCTCTTTAAGGGATGCACATTCAAATTATGTGGAATAGTTACTCTGTATGCTAATCTCACCAAGTGAATACATAGTTTATTTCATTTTAAATTTCTAGGGATACTTTATTTAAAATATATTTTGTTTTATACTTATGTAAAATATCTATATGGTTCTACATATAGATTTACAAAACAGAGGACATTCAAAGGGCTCTAACTTCTCTATCCCCCAACCCTAATTCCTCCCTTTCTCTATAGGTAAAACTTTTTTCTACTTTGTGGTTTATCCTTCCATGCTTTCTTAATGGAGCAAATACATGCATTCACTGGTACTCCTGCTTGTCTTAGATAAAGTGGTAGCACATTATACACAATTGTATTCTTCGTTTTACCCTTACCACATCCTGGAGATCATTCTGTGGTATATAAAGACTTTGCTTATTTATTTATTTATTTTTGACTTTGCTTATTTTGATATGTCCACAGTATATGCATCCAGTCCTCTACTGTTCAGACTGTATCTAATCGCTTGATATTAAAAACAGTACCAACAGAGTGTATTGTCAAATTTCTGAAGTTTTACTAATTGGATAGTTGAGAAACGGGTAGTAGCTTTCACTTGCATTTCTCTTATCAGGAGCAAAGATGAGCATATTTTTGTATGATTAAGAGTCATCTGCATTTCTTTTTCTATACATGTTAGTTCATCTCTGAGAGATGTAGGTTTAACCATTTTCTAAGGCAGTTGGTCTTCTCTACTTTCAGAAGCTCTTTACATACTAGGGCTATTAACCCTGTCTGTGATATAAGATTGGAGAAGGCAATGGCACCCCACTCCAGTAATCTTGCCTGGAAAATCCCATGGACGGAGGAGCCTGGTAGGCTGCAGTCCATGGAGTCACAAAGAGTCGGACATGACTGAGCAACTTCACTTTCACTTTTCACTTTCATGCATTGGGGAAGGAAATGGCAACCCACTCCAGTGTTCTTGCCTGGAGAATCCCGGGGACGGCGGAGCCTGGTGGGCTGCCATCTGTGGGGTCGCACAGAGTCTGACACNCAAGACTAAAAAGGTAAAAATAATTAGAGTGAGAACAAGGAAAGGAAGGCACAAAACACCAATAATCAGGAAAGAAAAAGAAAGTTATTACCCATGTAACAGATACTGCAAAAATCATAAGATATTATTAACAACTTTTTCCCAATAAATATGAAAATGTAGATGAAATGAACAAATTCACTGAGAAATACAATTGGTCAGAACTGATATAGGAAGAAATACTCAGAATGGTCTTAAAACTGTTAAAGAAATTGAGTAGGTAACTTTTCCTAAAAGAAAACTCTAAATGGCGTAACTGCAAAATTCTACCTAATATTTAAAGAAGAAATAATGCCAACCTTCAACAAACTCTTTCAGAGCACAGAAAAAGAAGGAATACTTTCCAGTTTATTTGTTGAGGGCAGAATAATCTGGATAGCAAAACTTGGCAAGAATGTTACTCCTACCACCCAAAAAAAGGAAAGAAAAAAAGAAATTATACAGCAATTTCATTCATGACCACAAACGGAAAAACCCTAAACAAATTAGCAAATCAAGTCCTGCAATTCATGACCCGACCACCAAGCTGGGTTTTTTCTAGGAATACAGTTAGTTTAACTAACATTTGAAAAGCAACCAATGTTTTTCACCAGATTAATAGAATGAAAGAAAAAAAAAATCTATACAAAAAGAACATTTGACAAAATCCAACAGCCACTTAGAATAAAAAACTCATAGAAAACAGACTTACCCTGATAAAGGCTTGTTGTTGTTTAGTTGCTAAGTCGTGTCTGACACTTTGTGAACCCGTGGACTGTAGTCTGCCAGGCTCCTCTGTCCATGGAACTTCCCAGGCAAAAATACTGGAGTGGGTTGCCATTTCCTTCTCCAGGGGATCTTCTGGACCCAGGGATCGAACTCGTGTCTCCTGCATTGCATGCAGCTTACTTAGCACTGAGCTCCCTGATAAAGAGTAGCTATACCAAAGCATAACCCTTAATGGTGAGCCGCTGAATACTTCCTCTGAGATCAGGAGTGAGGAGTGGCCCCGGCTGCCACTTCTCACCACCATTCTAGCGCTTGTCCTCGCCAGTACAATAAGGCAAAAAGAGAGAAAGACACGGCCCAAGGATTGGAAGGGAAAAATTAAATTTTCCTTATTCACAGATGACATTAATTGCATATGTAAAAAATTTTTTAAAAATCTAAAATGTTCTTCAAATAGGTGAGTTTGGCATGATTGCTGGATACTATGTCAATTTACTAAAATCTTACTTTTAATCAGCAATAACAGAAAATGATAAAAAGTTACCATTTATAATATCAATATGTCAACACCCCAGGACTAAATACAGCAGAGATATGCAAAATCCCTACAAGCAAAACTATAAAAACTATAAAACATTATGGGAGAAATTAAAGATCTCGATATTAAAATAAAGAACACCTAAATAATGATTCTTTGGCTGTATACGATAAACCCATACTGGCAAAAGGATAAGTGAATGAAACAAAAGAGTCTAGGAACAGTTCCGTGTACATATAGACCCTTGACTTAGGACAGTGGTAGCACTCTGGGATAATCTTTTCAATAAATAGTGATGAATCAATTGAATATTGATACAGAAAAGAGAAACAACCCCTCTAACTTTTGTAAAAATCGATTCTAGGTGGATTATAGATCTAATGTAAAAATCAAAATGATTAAACTTTTTAGAAAAGATAATTTAGTATCTTCAAAACCTTGAGGAGAAAAAGTTTTCCTCAACGGGACACTAAAAATCATTAGGTGAGGATCCATTTTAACACTGCTTAATCAATGACCTCAGTTCCTCACAACACATTATTAAGTGAGTGGGAAAAGCTATGTAGAATACACATTAAAAAAAAAACAAGGATTTGCAGTAGGAACATATAAAGAACTACAAGTAAGAATTATATTTCAATTTAAAAAATTAAAAAGACTGTACAAAAATGCAGTGATGTTTTATTAAATTCAGTCTTATTACCAAACCAAATTGTAACTTTTATTGGATTTTTGTTTCTAATCATTTTTTTGTGTCTATAGGACTCCAGGTGGTGGGAGAATTCAGCTGGCCATTGCTACCACAGTCGCTCTTCTCCCATTTATCTCCTGGGTCTACATATATATAAACAAGGAGATGCGCTCCTCCTGGCCAGCTCACTGCAAGACGGTGATTTAAATGAAGAATCCTGTTCCTAAAATGAGAGTTCTTGATTTTTTATAAACATGGTTGTAACAAGCTGACTTCCTAGGAATTTATTTCAGTTGAGTTACTACTAGAGATGAATTTTTTTTTAAATCCTAAGAACTTTGTATGCCTACTTACAACACAGGACTGGATGGGACTAGTAAGAGAAGGGTCTGACATTCTGTTTTATCATAGTGTAGTAAGAAAGTTAAGAAAGATGAGTTCCAACTCTGCTTCATCACTATCCATGTGACTTGGAGAAACATAAATCTACTTTCTTTGGAATTAAAGAATTCCAAAGATAACTGAAATTATCTTTTGGATAATTCTTTATCTATAAATACCAGCCTGCCTACTTATTTATATAATTGTGAAGATTAAAGTAGATAACATGAGAGCATTCCAAACGTAAATTCCTCTGCACAGGATAACAGAGGGAAGCAGGGTTTGGATAATGATAGATAGGAGTTTAGGAGGGCTGTGCCCTTGAACTAACATCATTAGATTGGACTGGTACCATGAATTAAATGAGGTGCCATGAATTAAAGGAGGACTTCGGGTGAACAAAGTGAACAACTATGTCTAGGAAAGAAAGGAAAGTTAGTTACAATAAAGGAATTTGGGACCAAAAAGAAGCAGAGAGGGAATATTAATTACCATGTAATTGAAAAGTAAGACCAAAATCTAAACACATATCCTTAACGAATGTCAAAAGTAGCTCTGGAGAGATCGTTTCAGAGCTGCACCATCTGGCGACCACAAGCCACATGCTGTATCGAGCACTTGAAATGTACTTACTGAAGAAGTTTTAATTTTTTGTTTTAATTTACAAACATCAATTATGAGGAAACTGATTACATGTATTTGGAACACTTGGTTTAACTTGGTTTCACTTGGAACAACTGAAATATGTGAATCTACTTCTTCAACTGTAAATTTTGTACCTAAATACAGACCAGGTTTTTCCAATGAAAGTTATTGTCCAAATGGATGGATTATAAGCATAAAACACACACTACATTTTAAACTTAGTATAAAAAGAATGTAAAATATTTTTATATTGATTACATGTTGAAATAACATTAGATGTATTGGAATAAACAAAATTATATTATGAAAATTAATTTTATGCGTCTGTGTACTTTTTAAAATGTGACTGCTAAAATATTTCAAATTACCAAGGTGGCTCACATGTTGTTTCTGTTGGTCAGTGCTGTTTTAAAGCATCTGGATGCAACTCTTTTAGTTGATGGTATCAAACTCCATAGTTTGATGATACACAGGCATCAAACTCCGTAGTGAAGAGTTTCCTGAGATTTAGGAAATATTTCACTCAAAAAGTATTAGCACCAACTATGTCAGGAGAGTGAAAATGACTCTGGTAGTTTGTCTCCTTATATAAAGGATTTCAATGTTGTAGTGTACATTTATGGTGCATATTCATGGTTTCTGTATATATAACTATTAGTCAAGAAATGAAGAAACAGACTTATTTTCAAATTCCGTTAAGGACCTACCCAGCCTCCAAGCAATGCTTGACACTGTGCAGAGGGCAAATTATAGCCAAGTCTGTAAAGTGAATAAAGGGCCTCAAACATAACCGGATCCCAATTCTCATGAATGTTACATCATAATGTGCACTTTGCAGATGTAAGGATCCTGAGATGGGGATTGTCTGGGTGAGCCCTCAATGCCATCACTGTTGTTAAGAGGGAGGCAGAGGATGACCTGACCACAAAGACAGAAGAGGAGAAAGGCACGTGACAATAAAGCAGCAAGAGACTGGAGAAAGCCGTGAGGCTGTCTCTGTAGAGGGTGGGGTCATGAGCCAAGGACAGCAAGCCACGCAGCTCTAGAAACTGGAAATGGCCAGGAAAGAGAGTATCCCCCAGAGTCCCTGGCCCTGACAACATGGTGCTCTCAGCCCGGTGAAGATGTTTCCAGACTTATGACCTCTGGAACTGTCAGAGAACACACACACACAGTTTATGCCGCCGAGTTTGGGGAAATTTGTCACAGCAGCCAGTGGAGACACACAGTACCTTGGTGCTCAGCAGGCACACTACACTGACTAGCCCTGGCTTTTGTCGTCCCCTTCTTTAGGCCCCGGATCAAACTTTCTCTACACTTGAACAGTCCTCATCTGCCATTGAGTAAATGTTTTTGCAAATAAGCCTCAGAATATATGACAACTCAGTTAAACAAGCCCCACTTGTCTATGAAAGGAGTCAGGGGTAAATTCATTTACCTACTACAGTCTCACCCAGCACCGGCTAGGGGCCCAGACAGGCAGAGTCCTGCTTTGGCTGAAATCACAGGAGGTGTGCAAGGAGACCACACATCTACCTGTGTGAACAGAGGTGCCATTCGTTCACCTGTGAGGTGATTGGTGATCTTTTTGGCTTACAAAACAGGAGCATAAACCCATAAAAGTACAAATATGATGAGTACTATAAGCAAAAAATGTCCACAGCTCATTCACACAGCTGGGTAAATGGAAAAAGTTTACCTGGGCTTATTTTACTTTTTTATTGTGAATTTTAAGTTACATGGCTAACACAGTGAATGAATACATTCTCCTTGTAAAAAGTAAAAAACATCTCAGGTAAGGCTAAATAGTGTCTGTTTTGAGGAGTATATCCACCTTCCACCTCAGTCTCCTCCCTGGTTTACTCACGCTACTTTCATTCATCTTCTTTCCAATTTTCAGCATGGGATATATTACCCAAAAATGACACTTCAGAGTATCTTATGAGCTAACACACATTGAAGCCATTTATGGCTATTTGTTATGCAAATAGAATCCTAAATAATGAGACTGAGGCTTGGGGAATGGGGAGCAAACAAAACCACAAGCCAAGTCAGTCTCTTCCTATAAAAGTAAACAAATAAAATCAGACAAAAAACGGAAGGAAGGCTCATTCCTTCCTGTAACTCATAGTTCTGTCTGGAACTCTGCCCCCCCCTTCCAACATCATTCTGTCAGGATAGACGTGAACGGTGCCAAAGGCCTGGCTGTCCGGGGCTGTTTCGATAACCCCTTCTATGTTGACGTGGTGCACACCGAAAGGGTCCTCAGAGTAGCCGCCGTCGTGAGTGTGGCCGGCGAAGAAGCACACCACACACTTGTGAGACCAAATGACTGCCAGGGCGTCTCTGTAATTCCAGGCCAGGCACACACTGTCAGAGGCCTCGGGGTAAATGGGCAGATGGCCTGTTTAAGAGAAGAAGAGTTATGAACCAATCAAGAAAGACCTCTTTCACGAAAAACAGGCTAACAACGAGTACTCAGGGAAAAGAAAATATGTACTGCTACTCTTCCTGGACTGAGAGCACAGAAAACCAACATACGCAAAACACTAGATACTCGATAGCCACGTCTCTGGAGCATGGAAAAGGGGGAGACGGCTCACACCCAAGGGGACAGCAGCTGCTATACAGGCAGAAATCAGAGATCTACGGCCTCAGGGTCTCAAGAGGCACAACCACCAGGGGAGACAGACCTGGGCAGGGCGGTCAGCAAAGGCAGCCACCGGCCAGGCAGATGCCATACTGGAATCCAGTCTTGTCAACTTTCCTATGTGTATATGAGTGTTACACACATAGAATAAGCTACTGCTAAGTAACAGAACAGTCTAGGGAGGCGCCCATGGATTATGTGTCATTCATATAAATACTTGATGTTTTATAAAGAACTGACTTGTGCCACTTTAAACACTTCCAGGAGGTCGTGATGGTCACAGCCACTTTACACGAGAAAACTAAGTTAGAACAGGGAACAGTCACACTAGCTTCCCCATGAGACAGAGGCAGAACTTCAAATTCTTGATGCCAAGACACGTGTGAGGCCACATCACATAGCAGGTACGGTTTCACGCCCAAGTATGGGTGCTATAGCTCAATGGTCTTCACTTCTTCCCAGTAAATCACTTTCCTTTTGTCTCTGTTACCGTTTATTTTTATTCTGAAATTTTATTCTGAATATTTTTATTCTACTTAAAAACTATTAAAAAAAAAAAAAAGGGAGGCAGTAACAAGAGGGTTAGCACACAGACATACACAGACACACACACACACCATCACCACCACCCCTCTTCAAGCTGTGATAAGGGCTGAGAGTCCAAGGAGGCCATGGGACTTTCTAGACCCAATGTTATGCTGGACATCTATCAAGTCCCAGTGGTGTCTGACACAATCAGTTGCTCCCTTCTCCTTGAAATACTTGGCTCCAGAACACCGCCATCCCCCTACTCTTCTCCCAACCTTGACAGCTTCTGATACTCACCCTCCTTTACTGCATTCTCACTTCTCTGGGTCCTATTCTGGGCTGCCTGAATGCTTGGTCCTCAGGATACACAACACTATTTACACCTAATAGCATAGTGATCTCTTAATAATTTACGATTTTAAACATCAGCTCTATTCTTTCAACTTTCACATTGAGATATCCAGTCCAAACTTCGATTCCAAGTTTCTGACAAGTATGTCCACAATGTTCTCTCAATCTCTCTCCTGATGTCCAAGAGGCACCTGACACTTGAAATATATTTTCAAACCTGAACTCCTGAATTCTTCCTCCGAAACCCCTCCTACTGCCGTGTTCCATATCTCCGCTAATAGCAATTCCATCGTTCCAACTGAATAGCCAAAACTTGAGAAGGCCAAATACCACTGAGTTGCCAAAATGAAAGTGAAGAAACAAAATAAAATGTCTATTAGCCATTTTAAACTTTGCTTAAGAAAACCCAAGGCACTCAGTTATTACAGGTTTGTTTACCTGAGCTGACAGCAAAATGGAAGAAACCCATCAGAAGCTAATGCAGACAGGTGCACTGAGAGAAGGGCAAAGAAACAGGAATACAGAGGGAGAGACGACAAAGGGGGCTTGTCTCAGGAGCTGCACGCCGTGAGCTACGTGGTTCAATCTCTTTGGGTTCAAAGAGATCAGAGCATTCAGTACAGGTGCATTTTATACATTCAGTACAGGTAAAGTTAACAGGTACATTTTGGCAGCAAAAACCAAGAAGCAGAGACAAGAAGTATCCCATTCT